AAAAACGCGGCATAAAATTAGGCGAGAGGTTACTGTAGTCTTCTGCGGTACACAATTACTTCGCATATAGCGCTGGTTACTGGGCGTGATCGCCCATCACACCACACTTAGACCGACGTCACACTCGGCGACGGACAAGAGATGGAGCGATCGCGATCGCTCCATCGCTTGTCCATCGCTGAGTGTGACGTCGGTCTGAGCGGTGTATCTGCGCGGCACGCAAAGAGGGCAAACGCTGCACTGCCAAAGTCAATACGGCAATACCAATGATGGGATTTCATACCCTATGAAAGCTTCTTTTAAGAAGACCATAAATTGTTATTTCCTCAATAACTCCATAAAAATTCACAAAAGCCAGTGAAAACTTGGGTTACCCAATAACTAATACAATTCGCAAGTTTCACGTAACGAATACACTAACGACAGCTTCGGTAGAGAATGTCTGGATTACAGAGAAGTAAGAAAAGCTTGCTTGATTTCCTAATCCATGGCTACTTACCGTGGAGATGAAGGATTGATATGAGATTTAGTAAGAACAATACCAACGTTCACAAATACAACATTACCACGGATGGTTGTTAAAAAGAACTTCGTGACAACAGTACGTAGCTGAGAAACGAACGAGTAAAGCTGAGTAAAAAATGAGGACTTGACTGTAGCCGTCCAAAGTTAGGTATTTGCACAAGTAAGCCGAAACAATATAAAGTTACCTAATCTTGGACGGCTACAATCAAGTATTCATCTGATCAAACTATGCCAAGATTAAGAGAAAGTCGATCCTGGACGAGTAAAGAATATTACGCAGCCATGACGATCACTATATACTTTACATTTACTTCCAATTAAGCACTCTAAGTTGATAGACACAAGTATATCCTTGGCCGTGATTAGTTCTGAATACCACCTGCACCTGATCGGTTGGAGAAGATCGATTCTGAAGAAAAGTGGTACATATTGATTCTCAAGATGAAGCGTTCGATGCAATTTCAAGTACAGCATGAAAGGCATAACTTACTTGGATCTCGCATATTTGATTTGGTCCACCTTTTTCATTTACTGGGTAACGACACTCTGCGAGAAGGACCATATTTTCACATTCCCGATCCAAACATGCCTGGCAAAGTTCCATCATGTAAGAGAGCTTTCAGATTAGTTGTGAGTAAAATGCATCGAAAACGAAGGAACTAAGGAAATTTTGAACATTTGTTGTAATGTTCCTGTTTGAAAATGGGATTGCCCTTGACTTATCCCATCAAACTCGGCTCTTCTCTCAACAAGTAATCACCCTGAGTCTGATCTCTTTGCTTAATATTTCATCAGCATAATTTATCAACGAGTCGTGAAGGCCTCATAATAGCAAATAGGCATGTGCGCCATCAACTGGACCGCCAGATCCCCAAAATAATGGCCTCTATTAGTGATGAAACGCTTCTGCACGTTATCTCTCTTTAATTATTCTCTCCAATTCTAGAATAGCAAATAAATGGCAAGAGAGAAGCTGGCAATAAGTACTAATACTCGTTATTTTAGGAGATGCGAGCTGACAAGAAGGCCACACTAACAACATAGTGACAATACTGCAAGGGGAGGCTTCCGATGTGATGGCAGCTTCTCGCACTAAGAAGCCTACATCGTTGTATGTTTCAAAAAAAACTTACCAACACATCGTATCGGTCAGGTGCGCTAATTGGCACGATATCATGCCAGTAGTCATGCTCATACTCGATGGCGTCCACACTCGCATTAGACCATAAATGAATCGTCAGTTTGCCCTCCGCACCTTCAAAACAAAACGCCTCGGAAGGCATAATATGAGTCCGTTCCTGTAATGCGGCATGTATTCCAACGTAGCCACATAGATTGCAGTAGAGTTCCAAAATCTTATTCACCGTGATCGCAAAATTGTATGTCTCCAGCCCAAAAACACTACCAACAAGGTTGTAAAGCACAGATCCTGACGTGACGGCTTTTGACGTTAGATGTGAAACAACATATGCGCCTGAAGGAAAATTTTGAAGAGACAACAAATCTAAGAAAGTATTTGTGTCCCGTGTTGAAATAACCTTGATTTATCATATTCTGGTCATTTTATGGGTCAGTTTCCCATTTTTCTCATTGGGGATGAGCTTGTCTTCAATCAAATTGTATGTCAAGTGATCTTTCGAGCCCAAAAGATTTGCATTGATATGTGCTGGCAAGCGGAGTCGTTCACAGTGGACATGATGATGGGCACTGGAGCCAAATTTGAATTCCGCCGAAATGCCATACAGCCGGGTCAGCTGATGATCAATTCCATACAGCCGGGTATAGGATGACTGGTACCAAGCTTGTCTAGGAGAATAAAACACAGGCTAATTCATCACCGTCCCCCTCCCCCTAGTCACTACACAACTTAAAATAAAACTGCGATCCTAAAATGGATTTATACTGCTTGGTGCATCTCAGGGAGGATTTAGTAAAGGTCAGTCCCCTTATCCTCTAACCGTCTTCTATTCTTCTTCGCTACTCTGTTATTATAACGAAATCCATGCAGCCAACATGATAAAGTTGTTGATTCAGCAAGGTAGAAATTTTGATGAACAATTGCAATTTACATAGACTAGTCAATTACCAAGGAATTCAATTTCCCATGGAACTTTGAATTAAGACCCAGTTATATCGATAGAGCTTCAAACGTTGATTACAAATATGAAAACTAAAACTGCAAAATGAACCTGCCAAGGAAGTTGTGAGCAGTCAAATTGGCTTGGAATAAAGCGTTT